ACCTAAAAGGAAATCCGGATCTCTGCTTACAGCAGTTCAGTTGTCATTATGAACTGAAACAAAAGCCTTATTCTAATTCTGGTCTTCTTGGATAAATATCCGTAACATTCAATCCCATTAGCAATAAGACTCACCTTCGCTTTCCCGCAGTATCTATCAAAGAAGGAAATAGGGGATAAGAAAAAAGTTACAAAACAAAAAGTAAATGGGAGAATTAGATGGCACCTCGAGGAAAAACAGGAATCGTTTACCTTTTGTGTGAATCCATACCGCATGGATAACGAGAATGATATTGAATAGAAGAAGAACTCCGATGATGGATCCAAGTAAAAGGTGTTTACAAGTACATTCACAAATTTTCATCTCTGTAAGATAAAAATTCAGAGACCGATTCATTTCTATTTAGTCACTAAGACAGATTCCGATCGGATTATGTCAACACTGGCAAAATGAGACAAAGTTCAAACATAAAACTGAGAACCATGAATACGATGTTAGATAGCTTAGAACTTTTCCATTTAACAANATGAAGTCCGGCTGAATTTCAGCCCATGAATACCTGGACTTTATTAACGTGACAATTTGAAAACAAACTACATAGAGCTTATGGTTCGGACTTGACAAATTGTATAAAGCTTGTGGTTGGGACTTGACAAACTGCTGTGCTGTGTTGTTCTGTGAATAAACAACGGTCGAATTTACAGCAGTAGGAGGATTTTCTGAACTGGTGGCTGCATCAGAGGAACTTGGCTGCGATGGTCTTCCATTCAATGCACCAGAGAGGATTTCTGAACAAGCCCTCAGCTGTTCACTGGATGGACGAGTGCTGTAATTCCTCAGGCTAGCCTCACTGCGATCATCAGATTATGTGCCGCGATGGAACTTGCGCGTTGGACCACAGCGTGATTGCAGTGGCTCTGACATTATGGTTCGTGTAGATTCTTGAAAGAGACGCCAGTTTAGAAATTTCTTCCATCATTTCCTTCAATTTTGTTGACCCCCAGAGGCTGGTTGTCGTACCAAACTTCATCTCCAGATTTTACGTGTCGCTTTGGGTACTGAAAAAGTGCTTCGTAGGCAGGAATTAACTTTTGGAGATAGTTCTTGAGGCAGTTGAGGCCGTCAAAAAGTGGATCCTCTGATGTTGAATACATCCTGGCCTCCTTTTCTACACTGCTGATGTCTTCAATCCCACCTAGAGGAGTCACTCAAACGTATTCCCGTCCGTTGTCGTGCAATAAGAACTGGAAGCGTTGCTTCGTCAACTGTCGTAGACCTTCGCGTCCTTGACGATACCAGTACCAGGTTATATGAAGCCAGATGTTCCGCAGAAGACCCCAAGGACTGTATCCCCGGATTGTATTTAAGGATTTCAACTTTTGGAGGTCAGCCGCAGACTACTGGAACTGGAGGTTGTGTTTTGTATTTTCCTTGTTCTCGCGCTTGTTTAGCTTTACCTGACTCTGGAGGAGCTTGTTTGACGCTTGGAAATCTGTGCCTTTTGAAATGGAGATTCCCCCGTTAAATGGCGGGTTGTTGAGGTATCTTTCAATTGCATTTCGCAATCCAAGAAAGGATGACCTTGAATACGATGCATCATCCTATGTCGTGCTTCTGTGTAAAAGCAGCGGAGATTTAAGTCAAGCTCTTTGTTGTTCATTTGGTGGAGGTTCTTAGCAACTTTTCTTTCACTGCACCAAGCTATTAGAAAACGGCAACGAAAAAAAAAGATTTTTATTTGTATTTTGGTGTTGATTTTCGAGAGAAAGTTGTAGTTGTTGGTTAGAAACTTGAGTGTGCTAGCCAATTTTAAATTTATCCACTTTCCTTGATTGTTATTTTTGGAAATTTAGAAGAAAATGTAGCAAATGTGCGTACACTCTATTCAAGGTTTTCATATTGTATTTATTATATTTTTGCAAGAAAAAAACTGACCTTCAAAAACTCGGATAGCCCATTTTGGTGGATTGTTTGGTTTTCTTTGTTTCTGCTTTTGTAATTATGTCGTCTATTGCGGCACTTGACATGTTTTCAAATCTTTGCCTGTTTAAGTTGCCACCGCGCTCATTGTTTTCATAATTAACTTCGTTGGAAACCTCACTTTCAGTTAACGGGCAGGTCGCACTGTCATTGACAGTATCCTCTAAATCGATCGACGCTAATAGCTCATTTTCTCTATCGTCTTTTAGGTCGTAGATGACTTTTGGGTCGAATAAAAACCCGAGAGATAAATTAGGGATTTGGTCCGCCATGTAACAAATTGGCAGATGGCTTGACAGCTTCAACTCCATGGTCTATACTCTGACAGAGCACGCCCTTTCAACCAATGACAGCGCACATTATATCCGAACTTTATTATGAATTAAAATATATCTGAGCCAGTTAACAACTGGCCCTCTGTTAAAGGAGGATTTACGCGTGAAATGCATTAACGTGTGAAATACATTAACTACGCCGTATTTCTCGGATGTTAATGTTAATATGAAACGTGAACATACAATTCTCTGGTGAAAACAATTCTACAAATATATATATACTAATCAATATACAAAACATGATCAACAACTGCAAACATTGTTGCGGATCGTGATCAATACATGACGATGGGTTACCAAAGCCGCCATGGTCGTATGATGGTTGGTGTATAATTATGACGGTTACCGATAACCTAAGGTTGCAAAAATATTATATATTTTTATGACAGTTAAGAGTTTTCCTCACGACTTGCCGCGCACCTTCACCTGTTAAGTCTTCTGTGGTGAGAGTTATTTTTGTCGTGCTTAAAAGTACATCAGAAGGCATCTCATCATCAGAAATCACCTGGATTGATACCGGGTCAACTGCAAAGTCTCCTAGGCCTTTGCCTCCAGGTGTGGCAGCTTTTCTCAGAACTGACAAAACTTTGCTTATCTCTTCATTTTGATTGAATTCCAAGGAGAGATAGACAGTTATACTGCCGCACCCGAGGATTAAAACGGAGCCACAAATTAACACGCAAAGAAATTCCCGGAAAACCTTATATTGGTTGAGTAACATCAAGACAAGCCCAATAAAATTTTTGTCTAGTATTTGAAAGAATGAATACGACCTCTAGTAGATTATGGCCGCCTGATGAGTACTTTTGATTTCCTTTTGTAACCTCTAGAAAAGCTGTTTTCATAGGTTTTCATAAAAAACGTTCTAAACAGGAACATCTGAACCAGCAGGAATTGAATACGTAAACTGGCAAATGCTAGTTCAACGATGATCCATGAAGCGTACTACGTTACATAGCTTCACATAGCGTTAAACTTGTAAGGAACTTCCCTTACTCGATTATGTCGTATATCTACCCTCCTAAGTAAAACTAAAGTAACTGATTCCGAGTATTGTACGGTAAACATACCATCTTGATTATGGAATGAAATACAGTTTAATTAGAGGAATGATTGATCACTTGACCTAAGAATAATCTACAAACTGGCAATGAGAATGGAATCTGCTGCAAATGACTCTTTTACAATCTACAACCAATCACAAAATTACTGAAACACTATATAATAAGACGACATCATACTTGTACTTTGTGGCTTCTACGCCTTTCAGAGATGGAACTTCTAATTCAATCACTTCACCTACCTGTTTTTAGGGTTAAAGAAAAGGTCCATCAATTAAAAAGCTCAAACGTGGTAAGTTTCATTTAGCTACATTGGATACCTGGCCGGTTAAATATCCTAGATATTGTCGGGGTGCAAAATCCACTTCTTGCTCTGTCCTTTGAACTTCCGAGTTAGAATCATTACACAATCATTCTACGAGCGCGTAGCGCCGAGTTGGATATAGTAACCCCATATTGATATAAGTAAGCCTAAGTAGAATAACTGTTTTGGTAAAACGCACGCAAAAAATTAAATTTACCATCTGGTTGTTTTTTTGGTATGACAACGACCAGAAAATAAAAGCAACTTCGGTTCCAAAAATAACAGTAGCGTCAATGACAATTTCGTGAACACATGATCCAATAAATGAATCGAAAAGAATGAGCTATGCGTATTTGACAACGTCCTTCAATAGAAAAATGGAGATTTTGAAAGTTTACAAAGCTTTACACATTCTGAAGTAGCCCAGAGTGAAAGTTTTTAGGTAAATAGAGCAAAATTATCATGTTTAAATGTATACAGGGAGGAGAGCGGAGAAAGCGGTCAATGGCTTCTCGGCTAGATTTTGAGCAGCTTGTTGTCTTGCTTTCTTGCTGATGTGTAAAAAAATTTAAGTCAAGAATTCAATTCTTGAGTTTTCATATATCATCAATGGGTACTTTTTTATTTGCCTTCCGTTGGGACTGTCAAGCCACTCCGAAAGGTCAGTGAAACACTGCACTTTAGATTGTCGCAAATGTCACCGCAAAATTAAACCAAATCATATTACACTTTTAGCAAATAAAAACTGCTTGATTTTCCGTTACATAACTGGAAATATCTTCATACTGAATTTGCTGTTTTTTCGGTGGATATGGGAGTAGCTCTGCTATTTCTTTGCTTGTTAGCTCTCGGGCACAAAGAGCTTCTTCCGCCTACGCCTTACGGCTCCCTCACAGAAAAAATTTTTCCCCTTTGATGACAAATTCATTGACCATATTTATCGGAGCTCAGTAGGTTCTGAGCTTGGTCATAAGCTCATCACCTGGCCCCGTTCGGCCAATCAGATGGCTACAAATTCTATAACAGTGCTCCATTTATTATTTATGTGAAATAACCACTCTGTCTCCCTAGCTGAATAGAGAAAGGGAGTTTTTTATTCTTCTAAAGCATGCAAACTAAAGCGATGCGTGGCAACATTGTTGTACTTAATTTATGATTTGCGAGCTTTTTCTTTGCTCTCGATTCAAACTTTTTTTTTTTTTCCACAATGATTTTATTCGACATTTGACCCACTGGTACTAATAATAATCTGACGATTTTCCATTTTCTGAACCTCAATAGTTTGTTGTAAATCCCTTTAATTCATTTCACTTACTTTGGACCGTAGTTGCTGAAGAGTTTCTTGAAGATTGTTGCTGCAGTCCCTGTTAGTGATGGTTGACTTAATGTAGAATTTGTCGTCAGTTACCACTTTAGGGAGAAAAAATTCAACAACTCACATCATACATAAACACCTACACACATATATGAATTTTTAATTATACTTTAATTCACGGATGAGACCAAGCTTAAAACATGCAAATTGTTCTTTTCTTTTTTCATTGTTTCTGTAACATTATCGAAATGAAGTGCAAGAAACATTTCAAAGTCGCTACGTACCATAACAAAATAAAGGGAATTATATATACTAGATGAAACGTACTTACTGAGGTGAAACCATTTGAAAACCACATTTAGTTTATTTTCAACTTTGCAGCGATACCAACCAGGGCTTGACTCTTTTACTTGAAAAGTCACTTTACTAGGATTATCTTCAAAATTCCAGTTCATGATGACATCACCCCTTGTCCAGGTAACAGATGGTGTTGGATAACCGTCTCTGTAACAAGAAAAGCTGACACTTCTCCGGGTTTCTTAATGAATGTCTCATTTTCAGGGTTGGTGATCAATGCTGGATCTTTGAATAAGATAAAAACAAAACAAGACAAGAAAAACTGATGTTTTCCATTCTGTGTAACTGAACTACTTATCCAGTAACAATTAAAGTACACCGACGCACGTTTCTCTACTGAACTGTGAGAGACTTGTGGTATACTACACGTATTTAAGTTCAAATCGGTCGAGTACTTAACAGAAAAAATAGAGAATGGAGTTTTATTTCTTTAATAGGGGTATGACTGAGAACAGACATTAGTGAACAACACATTAGACAATTATCCCACGAGCGCGCAATGGATTTCAGATGACAGATAGCCATAACGAGGCCCGTAGGGCCCAGTAGGTCATAATCATCTCGTATCCTACGAGCGAAAGTGGAATAATTGTTTTATGGAAAAAGGCTCCAAGGTACAGATAAATCTTCCCAAATTGATTTTGGTATTATTAAAAAAAAAAAAAAACACACACACAAAAAAAAAAACACTATCGGTTTAACTCGTCCTCATACCCGCGCATGGTATAATGGGTCACAACCTATGATAACTAAGCCAATGAAAACTCTCGAATTGTATTATCCAATCAACCAGTTTTATTAATAGTTTATATTGACGGCGTTTAAGGAGAGGTACTTGTGTATGCATTACATAGGCTTACGCAAAGTTTTTCACTCTCTTGAAATAGCAGTTATCGTCTTAAAGTTAACTGTGAGAAACTGGGGTGGTGATTTTTCATAAGCCTTGCTTGGGAAAACAATTTGGGCCGTTTTGCAGAACTGCTTTGGATTATCTTTGTTCTCCTGTAGCAATTTTACATAGTAACGCGCCTTCTGAAAGGATCAATTTGTTTTCCAAGCAAGCCAAGCCTCCTTAACATTTTGAAGTGGAAGAAATTCATCCTACAGGGCATGTTCCAGATCATCTTGAAGTAATTTAGGGTTGTTATTTGCACAGTTACAGCAATGTAGGACACAAACTTTTAGGAAGAAAAATTATTTGAAGGCAAACGGCATCAGTCGTAACAGCTTTGAAAATATTGCGTGGATGTATGCATAGAGAAAAAGCGAGCGAGGCAGGAGTGGTGCTGGTGATCCTCGTAGACTGTTTGGTAAGCTGTGAAAGACTGTTTGGTAAGCTGTGAAAGACTGTTTGGTAAGCTGTGAAAGACTCATGTTCCTGAAAAGGATGACTTTCAGTCTCTTACAGTCACTGCTCAGGGATTTCGTGAATAAGTCAGAGTCAATAGCACCCACCAACGAGATCAATTTCTTATTTTTAACAAACGCATTCTCTAAGATTTCTTTGATGAAATATATCGAAATAATTGATTCTTCGAATATAATTCCATTGCCGTGCGAAAGGAGAGTCGTTTTCCATAGAGAATCGACAGGTTCTTGAACAAAGAAAGTTCTCTGAACCACCAGTGTCGCGTCTTAAGAGCGACTTTTTTTCAAGACCGCGTGAGAGGTGGCGCATCGACCGACAAATGACTGTCCCTATATTTCAGTCA